GGTGTCCTTTGTGGTTAATATCTTCATGTTCCTTTTCAAAAGACTACATTCCCTGGTTTTACAAAGGGATACCATGTGAATGACTGGAAAGTATCAAAGATTTTAGGGGTTACCTCTCCCAACTGTTTAAGGGAATACTTATTCCCATCATGCCTCATCTTTCCACCCAGAGGAATCTGGTCTCTCACCTGAGCCCTTACTGACTGATCAGTGAATATGGAAGAAGAAACTGAACACAGTTCAATTCTTCTCTTTGAAAGCTAGCCTACCTACAGAGAGGGACACTATGGTTGTCCCTCTGAGAGACTGCCACTCAGGTGTTAGGTAAGTCTAACTATTCGAGGGCAAGGGGAGTTAGCAAACTATTCTGGCCTCAAATGTGACATTTCCAATTTTATCAAGGATAGAATGAACCTTATAATCTCCATCTGTTTGGCTCCTGCATCTCAACTAGTTTCAAACACAAATGAAAAGGACTTTTTCATTTTTTACTAGATTTCCATATAACTAAGACCCATAAATTTTTTAAAGTTTTAACAAGTACTGGATAGTAATAAAACTAAATGCAATTATGTAATTACTAGGGTTCAAAGAAAATAAAACATTTTCAGTGTGACCTAAGATCGCCAGGCTCCAAGAATTTCAGAGCGATGTAACAGACCCTTTAATCTAAAACTAATTCCTTTTAGACCCCTTGTAGAAGTGCATGGAAGTACATAAATATTTTTGGTGAAAAGAGTTATACCTGTAGCTTTAAACTGCTGGCTTATTCCACTTTTTGAAAAAGTTCGCCAAGAGTCTCAAGGGCAATAAGGGATCATGTGCAGTCTGCTAATGGTAATTTCTGTCCGTAGATACAATTTCTATCCTAAACTACATAGGAGACCCTAGGGAAAAAAAGGCATGAATAATAAGTAGAAAACATACTCAAAGAAAAGCTTGGAGAAAAGTAAAAACCAGCAGCAACGTGAAGTTCCCCTTACTTGGTGATAGATATATATCTATAGTTATACTCTTAAAGAGAAGAAAGATTCCCTGACTTCTCTTTAGACTATCACTTTGAAAATAGGAACTGCATTTTATCAGAAATAATTCCCTCATTTTCCATTTTATAATTTTCTATGCATAATTTTATGTAGATTATCCTTAGCTGCCTTCAGTGAACACGTCATAGGGTTCCTACTCCAAGACCCTGATTATCAGCCTGGGAAACTCAGCCAAGAGCCCCTGTGGTAATTACTACCAGCTGCCACCCAATATTCATTCTGTTCTTAATAGGAATTTTTTTTATTCCAGACAGCAATACATCCAGCTAATAGGCTACACTTCCCAACTCCTATGGATTGAACTGTGACCACTCCCCCTACCCCCACAAATTTAAGTCAAAACCCTAACCCTCAATGTGATTATACTGGAGACAGGGCCTATAAGGAGGTAATTAAGATTAAATGAGGTCATATGGGTAGAGCCCTCATATTACAGGATCTGTGTTCTTGAAAGAGGCACGAAGAACTGCTCACACAGGAGAGTCTCTCCCCAACCCTCACCTGCACAAAGAGGTCACGTGAGCACACAGCAAGCTGGTAGACACCTACAAGCCAAGAGAAGAAACCCCGGAAGGAAACCTACCTTGTCAGCACTTTGATCGTCCCAGCCTTCAAAACTGTGAGAAATAAATTTCTGTTGTTTAAATAACCCAGTCTGTGATACATTTTTATGGCAGCCCGAGCAGACTAAAATGCCAAACTTCCTTGTAGTTAGAGGAAGCGATATGAATATAGCATTTAAAAGGAGCTGACTCAGCTCAAAGGAAGGTCTTTTTTTTTCCTTTTTCCCCTTTTTCTTTGTTGCCTGAAGACTGGAATTCCAGCCACCCTCTAGGCCCTTGAAAATGGAAACCATTTATTGAGAACAAAAGTACAGAAAATTAAAGCACTCAAGACTCTGATGGCCATCAAGCCACTACACCGAACATCAGCCCGCCTATCGCCAGACTGCATCTACAGAATAAATAACCTATTTTGTTTAAGTCATTATTTGTTCTTGTCGTTGTTTATATGTAAACTTATTTTTAGTTAATATGGCTCCTAACAATATTTTATTTCCCAGTGATTCTCATAGAAGGAGGTACTACCCCACACCCTGAGTGTCTAAAGTGATAAGGGAGGATGAAAACAGGCAGCAGTTTGATCATCCTAATGATGGGGAAAGGCTATGAGCATTTAGTGGCTGGGGGCCAATGATGTTAAATGTCTTGAAATCTACAGACCAGTTCCAGACAACAGGCCAAAAGCACCTCCTCGAATAAAATCCTTAACTCTGGTGTTCCTGATTTCTTAGAGCCCATCTAAATCCCATACCTAATAATTCTTGGTTCCCAGAGACTAGCAGTTCTATTTTCTAGAGAAAACAGAGAGGTGGGAGAAGAGGGGGGGCAGGAAACAACTGACACAGATGCTATGCACAAGTCCGAAATTTAAATGTGTTCCTAAACACAACTTTTACAAAACATGCAAGATTATAGGTAGAATACTTAATATACAGCTTGAATCCACACAAGCCTCATTAAAATAGAATTCAATGTAAATTGTTTTGGAAATCAGAGAATTATCTCGTTATATGAAAATCTGGAAACTCTAATTTTTGATTTTACATGTTTGCTCTTTTCTGAGCACTTTCTTTGATAATGGATCTTCCAATAGAAATGACCAATTTGTAATACTGAATCATTGCTAGAGTACTTTGTCATCCTTTCATTGATCCAGACTAATCTATAAATTTCTGAAATCCTACGGATTCCCCCAAAAAACAAAGAACTGTGACATAATGTTCCAGAACATTAATCAGACTGGGCACTGAGAAAAGCTTTCTTTCTATGTTTCTAATAAGACTGCCTAGGGGTTTATATATAGGTGGATGTACTTGTTTTTTTAAAGAAATACAGTGGCATAGCCAACATTACCTCTGATAGCTGGAGTTCCACCCTTTAACACCACCCCTCTCTGTCCAGGCAGAGTAAAGGATAAGAGAGAGCTGCACAGAAAGAGAACCTCTACTGATACCCCTGCCCTCTAGTAAATACAGTGTTTTGTTGTGCAAATTCAATCGCAGAAGTTGAAACTCTTTTTTCCAACCAGGTTACACAATCCTAAATCTCTCTCAAAACTACATAGGTAGAAAACAAATTTTAAAAAAAAATCATAATGAGTAAACCAGTATTAGTAATTTAGTATCTCCTTCGTATCTTTCTGTATTATGGGTATAGGTTACAAAAGAACATATCACATCTATTGCTTATAGACTTCACTTAATATATTTTTGACATATCAGTTATTATGTGGTCCACACGGTTACTGTAATGCTGCATAGGGAGTCTGCACTGATTTAGTGGTACCACCAACAACGTACCCACTGTGCCCAGTTAATAGCAC